TTGAAAGCACTTTACACGTAAGGACTTTCCCCCCTAAGCCTCAACTCTTCAGCAGTCATCTTCCTTGCCATGGGGGTCACATCTTCTTCCCCTGCCCGAGTCCTGGGTCTTTGCCCCTGTGAGTGGGTCCGTGCACACTAGCCGGCAGGCAGCTGTCCCCACCAGTGCATTACGGTGGCTGCTGCACACCTGCTGCTCCACCAGGCCTGCTTGGGCCACGGAGCACTGCCCTGAGTGTTTCACCCTGCTGGCACCAGCACCAGCAAAGCCCCAGACTCAGACTCATCTCCAAAAAACGTCAACTAGAGAAATCAAAGGAGACATATTCCTTGGCAGAGGTCCATCCCATCTCAGCAGAGTACCGCAAGCAGTGATAGACTGTAGCCCTTAGGTCTAACTGGATGTCATATCGGATGGGGACTCTCTTAGGCACTCAATCCTACACCCACAGGGAACAGGAAAGAAAACAGCCTTAGGAAGGTCTCAGTGGTCTCCATGGAAAGCCTCTTCTCAGAGAACCTCCCGTTGTGCTGTCCCTAGGGAAGGTCTCCTTACAGGTCTGGCAGCTCTGAAACATTGTAAGGGGCAGGAACCGTAAATAACATCTGTAGGAGAAGGTGGTAAAAGGCAGAAACAAGGTATTCATGCACCTTACATGAGAACGCAAACAGGGCCTGGCTGTACCGGGTAAACCTCAGTAGAGCCCGGGGCTCTTGCCTTGCTGTCAGCTCACAGTGGGCAGGACCTGCAGCTAGCACCAAAGCTGCAGCTCTGAAACCATCCAGTCATGCTTTGCACTGAGAATTGTTTTAGAGTAATTCCCACATACAACCAAACCAAACTAGGGAAAAGATGCTAACAAACAAAAGCAGAAAAGCAGAAGGCAGGTAGGTAACACTTCTGATCTAAGGATCCTGCTGTTACTTTTGTCGCAACACCATTATCTAGTTTTATGAGCTGGTAACCAAGGAACACAGAAATTACACGAGTTGCCCAAGGTGATACAGCGAACCAGCAGCACACCAGAGAATACAACATAGATCTTGCAAGTCCTAATCTGCCACCCTGCCTGCCTCCCTCTCATACCTGTTGTGTTCCCAGAATACACATATGGCTTTGGTAAAATGGAGTTCAGCCACAATGGATTTCATAATCACACAGAGGAGTAAATATTATAAAAGCACCCTTATCATTGCCTTTCCATGGAGCAGCACTGGGCCATTGCACTTGAAATTCCTGAGGAATTAAAAAATAATATATAAATGGTGCTAGTGACGCCTGTATAAACTATGCCCTCACACTTCAGTGCCCTGCTCAGGGCATACTGTCTACCCAAGAGAGATGAGAGCCAGAGCCAGCAATATTGCTGAGATGCCAATTGTTTCTTACAGGGGAAAGGCTAATGGAGTGATCAAAGAATCAGTAAAAACATAGTTGCACAGATGCTTGTGGGCAGAGAGGGAGGAAGGGCCTGCCACAAAACGAAAATACCAAATGAAACCCTCCTTTCCACTGCTCAGCAAGGGCAAGGGAATGTGTGCGGCCAAGTCAGTTGAGGTTAGGAGTCAAGGGTGCCTGCAATTTAACCCTGGATCTGCCTCTCGGCTGTAGGTGTCGGTCAAGTCAGTATCTGCCTTCATTTCTCCATCGATAAATAGGGTCTGGAACAACACTTACACCACAGGGTGGGTTAAAGAGCAGCTGTACAAAGCTTTGAAATGTACAGCTGTAGATCAGGGCTAAATAGTTCTGTTTCTGCCACAAGCAGTCACTTTGGGGCAATATATGCTGACATGATGTTATAGGAGCAATGTTAAATGCTAGAAAGATGGGAATGTTTATTAAATGGATAGGTCAGCTTCGGGGGAAAGGCTTATGTGTTTCATGATGTAAACATGTGATTTTTCAATAGGTACCAGAATGCAAGAGGCAAATATTTTTTTCTTTTAATTTGGTACACACAGGACTGGGCTGTCCATGAAATGCACAGGTACCCAGGCAGAGCCCAAAATTTAACCTAAGGCTAACGTTGAAGGATATGAACTAGCTTTAGCTTTCAAAAGCTGTCAGTGTAGGTCTGATACTTCATGTATGACATCCAGGGCAGAAGCACCTACACATACAAATAATGCACTTAAGAGCACTGAAAGACAAGAGCTTAATCTCAAGAAAAAAATGATGTCTCTTCAATGTGTCAGAACTTCAAAAGTAATTGTGAGATCTGACAGGGTTGCTGGTGATTCTCTTAAAGACTCTTTATAGCTCCTCTTACAGGGGCCTTGGGCTGATTCATGTTGATCGTGTCTGACAGCTAGCATTTCTGTTAATAATAATCGTAAATAAAGTGGACAAGGTTGCCTGACCTGAAATGAGCATATCTATAGTGCCATATCCATTACAGCACAGTGGATCTGTGACCGCAAATCAGGAAAAGTCCAATGCTCTTGACACTATGTATTAAAATAATATCTGTCTTTTAAGAGCTCAGAACCTTTGTCTGCTATCTTCTTCATTAAAAAGTGTTCCTTAAGAGAGAACATCCACACTAGAACAGACCTATAGAAAGGAGATATTACACAAGATGAAAGATTGCAAATCTTTGCTTTTTTTTTTTTGTTGTTTATTATGCAATAAAAATGTATTTGTGAACAGCTCTGTTCTCCCTTATATCTCAGTTCCTCCTTCATGTTCTCCTGCATTGAAGTCATAATCCTGGTTTTATGCCATCATAAATCTGCTGACAAGTGAAAAATTATACTATTATCAAACACATCAAACCAGAATTATGATTTCACTGCTGCAGGACCAAATGCAAACAGGAGCTGGGTTATAAGAAAGTGAAGCTTTATTAATTTCTGGGCAGTGGTTTGCTGCTAAAGATAGGGAAGGCAGTAAAGATATTTATTTATATTTTATTTTGCATAAAATCCCTGGTTGTGCTTATACACAGATAAAACTCATTCAAAACAATACAAGAATTACTTGCAGATATAGGGAAGCACTCGCAAAAGTATCAGAAATAACACACTTAGAATCCTTCCACGTCAGGTGACAGGCTGAATTAAGAGAGAAGCTTTGCAAAGTACTTTGAGGGAGGTCAACGTGCCAGGCTAGAGCTGAGCCTACCCGGCAGGCATCTTTCAGGGACACAGGCCCTCCACTGAAAACCCACCACCCCAGAGATTCAGGTCCAGCAACAGCTAGATATCTGCAATGTTCCTGACCAGGGAGAGAAGAACTAAACCACACAAAAAATTAGAATAAAGAGATTAATCTGTCAGTGAGCAAAAAAGCTGTATTTGGTGAAGAACACAGGTCAGATGTTATCCAGCTGTAAAAAAGCAGTGAAGTTTAGATTCTCCATGTTTCCCGCTAAGGAAAGGTTCCTGCTTGCCCCCTCACTCACTGCCTTTGCAGATCTGTGCAGCACAACAAACCAGCACCACTGCTCTGCCAGGTAGGCCAAAGCTGGCTAGACCATGGAAAAACCTTTTCTCTCCAGGTGTGTCTTCCAGACAAGAGGAAAATCAATTTATTGCCACATAAACTGAAGGGATAGGAAAGAGGTTTTCTCATAGGAGGCAAAGTTAACTTCAGAAAGATTATTTCATCACTTGGTCTGTGCTTGCACTGTGTAGAGCCATCACTTTCAGATGCATCCTCTGAATAGGTACAATAAACCATGCCCTTATGGATATGGTTTTAATAGTGGTATCTATTGTATTCACATCTCTTCTGCACATGTTCTTCCTGTTGCCACAGTCAAAAGCATAAAGAAAAGGAGAGTTATGCATTACTCAGTTCACTGCAAATGAATCCCAGAGGTGAGTATCCCAGCAATGGGAATGGCTGGTGAATTAGGAACTCTATGAGAATAACACATTTTGGACAGCCAGTGCTACTGTAGGATAAGTAGCCACTGATACTTCACATACCTGTGCACACCAGTTCCAATGCCAATGTGTGTGTTTTTTTCAAAAGTAGGTTAGGCAGGACTCACAATTCAGGTTGGAAAAACAGCACCCAGGAAAAAAGATGAGCTGACCAGCTGATGGATGTTCCCCATCCCTGTCCTGCAATTTTTTGAAGCTTGTTCTGGTGGGAAGATGTATCAGTTGCAACTGCACAGAGTCTTGGTATGACCCAGGAGACTCTTGCCATCTAATTAAGAAGTCCTAATGTAGTGTGAAAGCTACTGGGGATTATATCTGAACAAAGATTAAGTCTCTCTGATCCTTTCTATGATCACTGAAAAGGGTTCAGATTTGCAAGTGCTTCAGAGCTGTAGTTCCCATATATTATTATTAATATAATTTTTTGTTTCAATAAATTACTGGGAAATGAAGGACTCATAATTCAAAAGTTAAAAACCCAGAGTCTCAGAGGCAGGATAACATATTTCAAGGGGCATGGGCACAACTTTGTTCCATCTTCTAGGGGGAAAGAAGGAATTCAATGGTGGTTTCAGCTGCAGGGCATCTTGCACCTTTGGACATCCAGAGCACACAAGGAGGAAAAGTGGGCTCAGATATCAACAGATATTGCTATTCAGCAAGACTCCGGTCTTGTGCTGGTGAAATATGCATACCAAGAGGGGAGTCTGTGCACAAAGTGCTTAAGAATAACAGTTACATTTCACTGCTTCACAAAGGCATCTTTCTGGAATGAAATCAGACTAATATTTGTATAAATAAATACTTGAATGTGGCTGCAGTTGGCAATACTAACCAGTTTTAGGGATAAACGTTCTTCTGTTCATGTGAAGTAAAGCTAAGTGAAGTGGGTGACAGGGAGACTCCACTGCAAAGGCAATGCAACCACACAGGATTTGTGCATGTTGCAAAATGAAGAACCTCGGAGCCTAGGACACTTATCCTGGCCTCGCTTCTCTGCTAAGAGATAGAGTTGGTACTGAATTAGCTCACCGTTAGGGCTAGTCTCGCTACCATGTAGTTAGCTGCTTTGGTCTGTGTCCCTCTCTCACACCACCGCAAGCTTACCTGCATTTGATCGTTTCTTTGGATTTTTGAGACTTCGGCACCTGCCGCTCGCAGAGCTGCTGTTCTCACTCATGGAGTCTTGTGCTGAAGAGGCACTCCCCGTCGCCTCGCTGTCCCTCATCATGCTCTCATAGCCGCTGCTCCCCCCACTGTGGTAGAAGAGGGCTGTTTTCCCCATGGCAGGGGGCAGCTCCCCACTCAGGACACTGCTGTTGTCGCTTCCGTGACCACTGCTGCAGCGGTGAGGTTTCCGAGGAGGGGTGATCTTGCTGTAAGGTGAAGGCAGCATGTGAACAGCTGGCTTCTCATCTCCCGGAAGGCCCCCGCGCTCATCTGCCTCTGAGCTTCCCCGCGGCTGTAAGCCTCTGGCACTGGCGCTCCCTTGGAGCAGCTCTGAAATCCGACCGTTGACAGCCCGAAGGGGCAATTTGGAAGCAAGGCTGGAGCCCCGGGTTCTGCTGAGGGACTGGGTTGACCAGGACATGTTCTTCCCACTCGGAGGCAAACTGGAGCTCTGCCCAATGGACTGGGGCAGAGACTTGGTGGAGAAGCTGAGCGTTTTGGTGGCAGAGGCAGACAGGCTGCGGGCCTTGGGACTCGCCAGCAGGAGCTTGCTGACCGCAGAGATCTTCGACTGGCTGGCTTTCGGGGAGGCACCTGCTGACTGGGAGAGGCCTGAGTTGGTAGGTGAGGACATGACGCTGCGGCTGAGGCTCCTTCCGGCCCTAGGCATGGTGGTGTCTTTGCCAGGGCTCATTTTGGAACTCACAGAGGACAAGCTTTCCGCTCTTTCCAGCGACAAACACTCATAGTGGCTTCCTGTGGACCTCCCGAGGGAGTTGGTCCTGCTGGCGAGCTGCTCCAGTTTGGCACTGAAGAGCTTGCTGCTGCTGTTGTTGCCACTGCTGTCGATGCCAGGGCCCTTCTGTTTGGCATTCAGCTCCTCGGGGAAGCTGGCCAGGAAGGACCCGGGCTGGCTGGAGGGACTGCTCGTGGTGCTGCTGGCTGCACTGTGCTGGGGGCTGGCTCTGTTCTTCTGATCCAAGCTTGACTTTCTCACCGGTGGCAGAGGAGGGGTCCCTTTGGGACGAGTGAGGACACAGTGTTTGGGAGAAGCCATTTTCTTGTCAAGGCTAGTCTTAGAAAACTGTGGGAGGGCAGGAGAGCTGACTCCGCTGGTGTCAGTGGCAGTAGGATGGAGGTGACTGTCAGGCTCCTCCAGCTTGCTTGCCTTCGGGAGCCCGCGAGGGAGGCTGCCGTTCTTCAAGCCATCACTGGAATGAACAGGGCTTTGGGTTGCAGAGCCAGACACTGCCACCTCACACCCATCCACAATCCTCTTTAGACTGTCAGATCCTGGGGAGATAGAGGCATCCCCGCTGCTGCTGCTAAACCTGTCTGCTGAAGCCTGCTTTGTGCTGTGCTCAGGCTTGGCTGAAACTGTGGCCGTGTCAGGCCTTGGCCCATCACTGCTCCCAGAGCTGTCCTTTTTTACATCTTCTTCTCTCTTCAGCCAAGGGTCTTCAAATTTGATATCCTTCTTAGCACTGGATTCTTTCCCATCATGGGGATGGGCAACCTTCGGGTCTGCAGTTACTGCCGGTACAGCATCATCAGTGTCTTGTGCTTTGAAGGGATTAACAGCAATGCATGGATATACAGTAATGTTTGTCTTCATTGGGATGTAGCCTTCACAGCTGCTGAGGCTTGCAGTGTTTTTGATTGTGACAGTAGTTTTCCCTAGAGCTGCTATTTTACAGCCTTTGATGGGTGGCGCTTTGCCGAAAGCTTCCTCCCCCATTTCTGACAGTATAAGCATGTTGTCAGTCCCTGGTTTCTGTTTGTCACTTACACAAATCATGCTGGCACTTTGTATGGTGCTTGCAAACTCAGAGACAGGGGGTTCTGCCATTGCTTCCCCATGCCCATAGCATGCCTGGGCTATGAAGCTGTGGCACGATTGTTCACCATCACTCCCTGTGCTCATTTCACTCAACCATGAGCTGATAGATGAGCGCCTGCTGCCATCATCCTGGGATTTGTCATCCAGGCCTAGCTTTGGAAGTGGAAGGAACTGTGTGATGCTGACTTCAGACACAGGAGCTGCACTGGAATAACATTCAAGGTCTTCAGATATGCTGCTGATAATACTGACTGGCCTAGACCCAGAAGCCAAAGCCTGCACAGAGCAGTCACTGTTAAAACTGATGATACTGGTTGGACGTCCGTTGTCAAGGACACCACTAATGGTTAGCTCTTCTACAAGGGTGAACACCAGCTCATCTTCTCCATTCAGCTCTAATGGCTGCTGCACAGTCACCATGGTGGTGCTCAGAATCTCCTTCTTGGGTTCTGGAGAAATGCTTTGTTGCCGATCTTCATGGAGAATGGTCTCTTCCAAATCCTCATTGCTGGAGGACACAGTCTTCTTCATGATCTGAGGACTCATGCCTACAGGTGGGGTCCGGATTTCTGGCTGCAATAAAGATTCACTAGACATCATCCCAGTATCCTTACTCAGGGGAGCTGGTGGGGGAGCGGAGCCGGGCAGGACTCCTTTCTGTGTATAGACCTTGCACCTCTGGGAAGGAGAAGTTGGTGGCTTGTACTCAGATGTCTTCGAGAGGCTTGCAATGCCAAGCCGGGGCGAACCCATTGGCCGAGGTTTGCCTTCCACAAATCCACAGCTGTTGAGACTTTCTCTGCTGCTCTGCAAGCTGGTGCTGTGTGCTAACTGACAAGAGCTAAGCTCTTTACTAGAGCTGCCTGTTACACTCCTGGGAGAAGAAGGAGTTGAAACATTAGTAAGAGCTCCAGAAGGAACAGGGGAGTGATTTCTCTTAGTTTTGCTGGGTGTTGCATTTATATTTTCCTTGGCTTCTCTATCAGGATGCTGACATTCTGGCACTGTGTCTTCCTTATCTGACTCTGGTAAGTGGCTAAGCTCTGCCAGCTGGCTTGAGACAGAGCACTTAGACATCTGGTCTGAGCTAAATTGAGCAGGCATCTCTTCAAAGGGAAATTTGTCGGTCTCTTCACTGCCATCTATGCAATCCAGCCTCTCCTGGAGCTCTGCAAAGGTGTTGCACTTCAGGCAGTCTCTTTCAGATGTGCTCGGCCCTGATTCACTAACTTCCTCCAACCTGCCCTCGTTTTTGGTCTTTTGCAGAGCAGGAACTATGGGAACAAAGTCAGGGGGACCCTCATTATCTGTCAGTTCCTTATCAGAAAGGGCAGTGCCATTGGGGCCAACGTAAATCACCGTGTCACACGACTGCTCACTGCTGGATGAATAATCAGGATCACTTGACAAATGCAAAATAGGGAAGTCTGGGTCAACAGTATTTCTAGAATGGAAAGGCCTCAGCTGAGTTGGCCTCCGCATCCTGCCCTCCTCACAAGAGCTCTCTCCTCCAGAAGAACTTGATGTGTACTGCAATATGAGAGAGAGAGAGAGCACGACATTTCAGCATTGTAAACAGCTCCTTGAACAAAGCGCATACACAAAAAGGTCGCAGTCACATCTAAACTGGAAAATTGCTAAACTAAGGCACAGAGTTCTGAAGCTTCTTATCCACAGTCCTATGGCAAACACACAACAGTGTTCAATGGAGAACCCAATGTCCCAACTCTGTGTCCCACTCAAAATCATGAGACTTCCAAAAAAAAGTACTGAACAAACGGATCAGGATCCCTCCCTTAATTGAGTCTGGCCAATTAAATCAGATTTGGCAAAGGCTTTGCTGATTTTGTGTGTGTGTGAGTGTGAAGAGGAATGAGAAAACTCATTACACAAATAAGGCACAGAAAATAGAAGACAATCCCCATTTGATCATACTACCAGTGTGTGGAATTGTATAACATGCACTCAGAGGTCTCTGGAGACACACTGCCGTGATGGTGAGTGGACTGAATCCCTTCACTTTCCTCTCTCCAATCCATTGACAAAAAAGGTTTTGTCAATCCATAGGCTGTCAATTTAAATGAAACACATAAAATTCACTCGTTGTGCCCAACTCACACTGTAAACTGTACAGAAGGAACCAGGACTCTAAAACATGACAGTGGATACAGCCCATCCTCTCTCTACTTCTTGGAAAATCTATCACCCGTATTTAGAAGCAGTGGGAATAAAAGGGGCATCAATGCTGGCAATGGACACACTGCTTTGCATTTATTTTGCTCCTGCTCTCTCTGAGAAGCATAGAGAATCTAATTCTTCATTAATCCCAATTTACTTTAACTCTACAGCAGTTTCATTCCCTATTATCTCATTAGCTCTAAGAGCATAACTAAAAAAAAATGCTGACAGCTATATCATTAAATGAGGCCAGATTACAAACCTGCTATAGCAGATATGTCTGAACTCATTCCTCTGTATCTGAAGCTGAAGTGTTTATCCCCTCTACTCTCTGCTATGTGCTCTAAGCCACTTGCCTAGGATAGGGTACATACAACCCATGCACTTTGGAACTGATTACTGATTTTGTTACATGCTGCTCTACCCCATCAAGGATCCTATAGGGACCTTCTTCCTCCCTCCTCCACCATTACAAGAAAGGAGTTATACATGGTCTTACCTTAGTTTTCTTTTTCTTCATCCTGAGAACCCGTGATGCAATCTGGATGGTGGACAGCGTCTCAGCGTAGTTCCCCGCAGCGGCTGAAATGTGAGCTATCATTGTGGTGCGGCAGTTCATATTCCCCAAGGACTCTCGAAGCAACATGGTGAGCTTGCTGTCTCTGCAAAATAAAATGAATTAAGGCTACATTAGCGAGCAAGGTTTCACTTTGACCATTGTGATGTGACTTGGGTCTCAGCAAGATTTTTTTCTCCTCTTTTTAATGGAATCCTAATTAGTTTCCTTCCTCAGGTTTGTGCTATGTTATGTCTGCAGCTGAGCATGCTGAAAGACTCTGGACTACAATTTAAACTTCTTTTCTCTTCCCAGTTCCTCCTTTCTGTCTTCTTCTGGCCTCAGTCCTTCTGCACTGTTTCCACTGCCAATACAGAGATGCAGACCAGCGTTGGAGAGTAACTGTTAAGAAGCCGCTAGAGCAAACATCAAACTGCTGTCCTTTTCCAGTGCACAGTGTGCAAGCAAACTCTGGCCCAACTCTGGAGGACAAGAGGGTAGTGGATTAGATTAGAGGATCCAAATTTTTTCTTGCCTTCTAGGGCACTGGCTAACTTAATAATAATAATAGTTAAATCACTGAAATTAATTTTGGATGATGCTGGTGAAATACAAAACAATCAAGCCTTAAGACTTCATACAATTGTTCTTTCATATTAGAACTCTTCTTCCACAGAGCAGAAATCAAATTTTCTGTTCTTGTGATTTACTCTATTGTTCAGCATAGGATAGCTTTTGAAATGCTGATGCTTTATTGTGGGTCTGTCTGTGACTGGACTAAGAATAGGAATTTTAACAGGATACGATGCATATATAACGCTTCTGTGGTGGTCATCTAATCCTGCAGTCAGAAATGCATGATATAATTTTTAGAGAGAGCTTCAGCTACAAGGTGTACAGGTCAACTGGGTGGTTAGTTGGGAAATGGCATCCTCTTGAAGAGAGCCTCTCCTACACTAAAGGTAGTGGATGATAGTTACGTATGGCTGAAAGCAAACACAGCCACAGCCTGATACTTAGCTATTGCTAAAGAAAATACTTTCACTGTTGTAATGATAGCAATACCTTCAGTGGCTGGGGACCAGATTTTTGGGGTTCACTGTTCAATATCTGCTAATAACCTACAGTGCATATGTGCCCTTGGTCATCCCCTTAACATTTCCAGCTCATGGGAGTTCTGCATAAAGCTGCAACTGCTGGGAACTGAAGCTATGCCTACTGGATGGGACTGACAGACAAACACCAAAATCCCTGAACCTCTTTTCTTGATTGAATAAACAACACTGTTTGGGACGTATATTTTGATGCATCTAGCAATAAATCTGAGAAGCTCATACATTGTGCTTCTCCTGAGATTTCCAGTACTTACAATTTCATCTAGGCTAGCAATACTGGAAGAAAAACATTTTTTGTTTCAGGGTTTCTGCTTCCACCTGCTCCAGACACATTGAAGACAGGCTGGTGTCTTTGAGAAGCAAACAAACATCCATAAAGACTATACCGAGGCAGCCTCACTCATTTCACTTTTGACCTAAGGCTGCTTTGAATCCACAGATCCAGAGTTAATAGGCTGCTGTATCTCAGGTTAGTGGCCCTCCTTTCCATCAAGGAATAATTAAGATGTCAAATTTTGTACATCAGTTACTGCCACTCCAATGCAGAGTTACACGGAAATTATTAACATCTGCACAGAAATCAATAACAAGCCTTTCATTTGCTAGAGCTTCTATCATAGCAAAACATGAGACGACAGGGGAGAGGGCAAAAGAATACATTCTGAACATGTCGGTCTCCTGAGAATACATAACCCATGCAGTCAGCATCAGCACACTGCGGTGTGGCTCTCCTAGAGGTATATGCATTATGAATATAAAATAATCTGCGCCATCTGCCTTGTACTGAAATACACACTTGCAAGAAGAATGACGATACAGAGGAAATACCTACTCTATAATTCAAATGATCCTCTGACATATGTCAGATAGGAACTAAAGGGCCGATTTGTTTAGGATTAAAGATTGAAACCTAGCAGCAAAAAAGCCCAGCCAATACTGATTTCTAATTTCAGAGTTTGCTCATTCAGCACAGTCTGCATCTTGACTATCAACTTCACTTTGCACCCAGACAAAACAACGAGCCCCATGTCACCATTGTACACTGAAAAATAAAATAAAGGAAGAAATTTGCTAAACACAGATTTTTGTCTATTCTGGACACTCTCATAAGACAAGTTCACCTGCTCAGGGTTCACTGATCTCTCACAATAGCACCTACTAACTTCTAAAGGAAAGAAAGAAAATCAAAGAGAACATTATAACGCAAAAAAGTGTGGCTTAATTTTTAACTCAACCTATCCTCATCAAGTAAAATATTGGTAAAATATTTTGGATGTCTCACTGAAATTTGCTTGACAGACAGCGTGAGACACAAAGTAGATGCTTTGTTGTTCTGAATGCTGACATGGCATCTCTGCCCAAAAAAAAGAAAGGCTGTGAATTGTTTCATTAGGTGATTCACGAGCTGGTATTTGCGAAAGCAAAAATTCCTGTGAAAGGAGAAGTTTTACAAAGAGAAGGTCTGCACTTCTGCACTGGGAGAGCTTTGAGAAGGAAGACGTTTGTTGATCTTCTGGCTGTGAAAACTAACCTAAGACACAGGAAATTTTGACAAAGCTCACAGAAGCTCCTGGATGCATGTTGCTCATGGTATTAAGCAAAATCTGGCTTGCAGAAGGTCCCAGATTTCTCACAGCAGCATACTGAAATGCATCAATGTCTTTATAGCAAATGGGAGATCTTCAGGAATGCTAATGGCCCATTTCTATTCTGCTCCAAGAGCAATAAAATGATATGCCAGAGCACCACGATGACCCCATTTTATATACCATCTTCATTTTAAATGTATTTCTGTCCCATCCACTAATGTTTTTATAGTTTAGGAAATTTACCATAACCCGTCATGAATGTGGGGATATAACACACACAGAACAATGAAGGTGGGGTCAGGACACCACACTTCAGACTCCAAAGCCTGTATATCAGTAAGTCACTTGTGCGGCCTTTTCAGTATAAGTTACCTAATTTTTCTAACTGCATCACTTGGTCTAATAAAATACATTACCCTTACTTGTAAACCTTTTCTTGCCTAACTCCTTAGATCATCACGGCTAAAGCAAAATACTATTAAATACTATTCATACATCCCACACAGGTAAAACAAAAAAATAAAGTATGCAAAGCTCTATCTCTGGAAAAGTCCACAGGCAGGAGCCTTGGGGGCAGGAAAGTAAACTCACATGTCTCTGAAGTATGTCAGCAGGTAGGGTACAGAGGATCCAGAAAGGAAGAACTGTGCAGATTGCCAAGGCAGAAAGCTCCAGTTCGTTCCATGGAGTAGCAGCCCTCCATGTGGAGAGGAGGTCTTTCTTCTCCATGCTGCTCCCTTACCTCCTCTGTATTTCCACTCTCTCATATTACAGTAGCTACTGCAGGACTTACAGTGCTACTTTCTGAATCTCGCAATAGCTACCGTAAGGAACCCTAGCAGATATTAAACCTCCCCAAAAGAGAGATGTGGCAGTGCTGCAGTGAGCACAGTTCTCTCTGCTTCTTCTTTTCCGAGACTTCACCATGCAAACCAGGATCAGTGTAAATTAGTCCTTTCACTTGCTCGGTAAGAAGGAAAAATGTACATCTTTATGCTCCTCTTATACACACACCTCCATTTTCCTTTCTCATGAATGATTAATTATACTCAGATTCAAACAATACAGAATCTTACACTGAAGAATGAAGTACTCAAGATCATGACATGTTTCCTTCGACATTGCATAAATCCCACTTGCCTATGTGCATTAAGTCAAAGTCTTTAATTTCATGACTGAATACTATTTTTCCACTAGACCTCTGCCTCAATCACTGCACAGGATAAACAGTGCTCACTGAACAAGAAGTTATTCAGTCTTTCATTTAATCCTTGCCTTTTAATGTGCAGACTTGTGCCTTATCTACTGTCAGGACTATGCAAACTCAGCTCTGAATCCAGACTGACTCATTTCTTCAAAGGTCCTTTTTTTTTTTTTTTTTTTAGTTTTCCTGTGGAGCTCATCAAGGCAGTATCTGATGAAATGCCTCTGAGGTGAGGTATATAATCCTCTGATAATACTTGCAGCATTGAAGACTTCACTAACCATAGGTGTTTGGTGTGAAGCACTGATCTTTCAGAGTAGTGAGCATTATAGAGTCTTTTATATTCAAAGTATGATGAACGTTGACTTCTCTTGCAGAGAAAATGGGGCAGCTGTTTCTCAATCTGGGTACCCAGAAAACCAGGCACATACAATTAATAGCCCATCTAAAAATTTTAGGAATGCATTGGCAGAGCCAGTTCTGAAGGTGGTACAAGCTCCCTTCAGGATACCTCCCTTCTCTTCCACAGCCCTCGGTCTCATTTTCCATATGCCTTCCAACTCCTGCTACAAATTAGGGAAGCAATTTATTGACAATGACCACATCGCTGCATAGTCCTGATTCACCTCTAAAGCTGGTCCTTTATCTGCCTTGAAAAAGATGATAATTTGCAGGGCGGGGGGGCAGGGAGGAATCCTGCAAAGACAACACAATATATAGCCCATGGGGCCAAAGTTTGCCAGGACAACCTTCATTTTGACATTTCCTGTCCCTGTAGTGATTGATTTCATAATCTGAATGCTCTTATTATATATATTTTATGTAATTTCATGTGGATTTGTGTTTACACTTCAATGACACATCAGCAAGCCTGGAACTTTCCTATGTATTAAAGTCTCAGTTGCTGAACTAGCCAACTAGCTGGCAGCAGCAGCCAGGTGCCACCTTTTGTATGGACAAGCAGTAGAGAAGGAGGACATGACTCACAATTTACCATGAGGTTCGGCTAGTATTTGGTGCCTGTAGAGAAACAGTGAGACTCAGGAGCATCACAATCCTTTCCTGTGCTGTAGGTGAGCTGTGCTCTCATGTATTCACATCCTTCTTGCCACGCTCTTCTTCTCAGACAATCCTTTTGTCTTCTATCAGTGTCTATCCTAGGCTTTCCTCATCCAACCTTCTGACACGTTCTCATTCC